TATATAATATGCCTTCTAGAACAGTAATTCTGTATTGATTGTTATTGGTGTGGGGTAAGGGATGGAGGCACACAATTACTAGTTTGTTGAGAGAGGTTAATGGTATGAGTATGTTGACGTGTGGCCCCTCTGGAAGCAGAAAAATGTTTAAGAAACATTTCTTAAAAGAAAAAGCAGAATGCATTGACTCTTCAGCTTTATTACTAAGATAATATTTTTGTGTGTGATGAGGTACCTGTACAAATTAATCTCAAGATTAAGCATAGCAAATTTACTTCCTCGCCACAGTTTCATTCTAGTCTGCAAATTGATTCAAAGCCTCACGGTATAGCATTCTTACATTGTATGAGATTTAGGCAAATACCAATTAATATTTTGTGAAAGAGTAGTGCCTATACTTTTTTTTTTGGGGGGGGGCAGGAAAATACTAGAAAGTTTTGTTTCTCTTTTTCATTCTTTCTGATTAAATAAAATTTTGAGTTCGTGTTTTTTAAATTTTCATATTTGAACTTCAACTGTGTTAAGTGCTGAGTTTAGCCTAGAAAATATGGTGGTGAACAATGGAAATGGCTCTGTTCCCACTGGAGCCGTAAGTAAATATATAATTAAAAATTATGGTGAGTGCTGTAAAGGGGAAGTATAGGAAACTATGAGAGACAGTAACAGGTAGAAGTTAGAAAATATCTTTGAGGAAGCAATTTTAAGGGAGCTAAAAAATTTACATTGATTATTACTTTGTGGTATACCTCTAGGTGAGGAAAGACTACTAAATGAATTGACCACCAGATTTGGGTTTTCTCGTTTGTTTGTTTTTTCTTTAACAGACTCTCCAGTGATTTTTTATAGCCTGCCCATGCCACCCCAAGGTTTAGCTTTGAATTTTCTCATTGTTTTCTCAGACACATGACAGGTTTTATTTTTGGTTTTTAGTTTTAACTTAAAGCATACATACGGAATCAAGGAACAGGTAGATACTCTTATACAGATTGTGTTAGAGAGTAACAGAAAATGGAGAGCTCCTTCCCAGCTCATTTCAGAAGTTAGTGTTATCTTTGATTCCAAAGCTAGACAAAAAGGTAATACCAGAAAAGAGAAATACAGCCATTTTCACTTAAAAACACATGTTAAAATTCATAATAAAATACATTCGTGTGTTAGCAAAAATAACTACATAAAAAAATAAAAATTATGACAAAGTAGAGTTTATCCCAGCAACACAAAGATGATTTGACATTAGAAAATATATCTGTGTGATTCAGCACATTTATGGATTAAACTAGAAAAGGCTTATGCTCTTCAGTAAACACAGAAGTATTTGATTAAATTAAATAACCATCTCTTAAAAAAAAAGAAAAGAAAAAGCCCTCCTAGAAAATGCAGAATAAAACAAACTTTTATTTAACTTCTTAAAGGATGTTCACTATGACCTTCAGCAAACAACATACTTAAGGAGAGACTAGAAACATTCTCATTTGAATTATGAACAAGATAGGGATGCCTGCTGTCATCATCACTGTTCACCTTTGTACTTGGAACCAAGCCAATACTGTGAGAAAAAGAAATTAGACTATAAAAGGATTAGAAAGGAAACGGCACAACTACCATCATTTCTTGTGGGGTATTGGTAGTTCAGTGGTAGAATTCTCCCCTTCCATGTGGGAGACCTGGGTTCAATTCCTAGCCAATACACCTCACGCACAGCCACTACCTGTCTGTCCATAGAGGTTTGAGTGATACTGTGATGCTGTAAAGGTTTCAGTGGAGCTTCCAGACTAAGATGGACTAGGAAGAATGGCTTGGCGATCTACTTCTGAAAATCAGCCAGTGAAAACCCTACGGATCACAGTGATCCGATCTACAACCTATCATGTGGATGACCCAGGACCAGGCAGCATTTCCTTCTGTTGTGCATGGAGTTGCCATGTGCTGGGAGCCAACTTGATGGCAGCTAACAATTATCATTTCTTGATATGATTAACTAAACAGAAAATACAAGCCATTTAGTGGACTATTAGAAACAATGAAACAGTGGTGTAGGACAGTTGCTGGATATAGGATTAGTCATAATCAGTAACTAATTATTTACAGAAAACTATAAAACTTTGTTCAAAGACATAAAACCAAAACCAAACCAGTTGTCGTCAGGTCGACTCCAACTCGTAGTAACCTCATGTGTGTCAGAGTAGAACTGTGCTCCCCATAGGGTTTTCAGTGGCTGAAATTTTGGCAGCACATTGCTTGGCCATTCTTCCCAGGCACCTCTGGGTGGACTTGAACCTCCAACCTTTCAGTTAGCTGCTGAGTGCATTAACTGTTTGTACCACTGAAGGACTTCAAAGACATAAAAGAAGACCTAAGTAAATGCAGATTCCATATTCATGAATGGAAAGATTAGAAATAGTAAAGATGTTGATTCTACCCAAATTAATCTGTAAATTCATTTATTTCCAATCATAATTCCAAAAGTATGTATGTATATGTGTCAGTGGCACTGACAAACTGATTTGAAAATTCATATGGAAGAGTAAAGTTCAGTGTTTGCAATGACAGTGCTGAAAAAGAATGAGAAAAGAGACTTCCCCTACCAGATAACAAAATGAGATGGAAAGTAATTAGGAATAAGGATTTGGCACAGGAATAAGCAGATATCAGCAGAACAAAATTAAAAATCCTAAAACGTTGGTCTCTCCTAGCGCATGAGAACCTGGTGAATGACAGAGGCACATTATAAGTCAATGGGGAACACTTTGGGCTTTTTGGTAAATATTGTTGGAGCAATTAGTTTCCCATATGAAAAAGAATAAAAGGAGAAAAAATTATATATCAAAAATGAATCCAGATGGATTAAAGACCCAAACAGGAAAAATGGAATGTAAAACTATTAGAAGAAAATATAAGAGGCCATCTTTATAACTTCAGGTTGGAAAGTTTTCCTAAACAAGACAAAAAAGTACAAATCATATAGGAAATCATTTTATTATATAAAAATTTAAAAACTTCCATATGATAACAAACAATATTCAAAAACAAGAAACAGACAGGGAGAACATATTTGTAAAAGAGTTAATATCCAGAATATATAAACTACTGCCAACAAATAAGAAAAAGCATATCCTGTAGCAAACGAGGAAAGGATATTAGTAATACATTCATAGTAAATGAAGTCTGAATTGTCAGTAAACATGAGAAGATGCTCAGTATTAGTAGAAATTAGGAAAACGCAAATTTAAAAGATGCCATTTTTTAATTTATCAAAATGGCAAAAATTAAACTTTAGCAATATAAGAAAGGCAGAGGTGTAGGGAAAGAATATTTTTGTGTACTTCTAAGGAGATGGTAAATTAATACAGTTGCTTTCCAGGATGATTTGGCAGAAGACATGCATACCCTGTAGCCCAGCGTTAGGGAAACTCTGGCACACTTGCATGAGAAGCTACATGGAACAGTATTCATTTCAGCATAATCACTGAGGCATCACAGTTTAATTGGCAGACTTTTTTTTCTTCATGTCACACAAAATAGTGATGCATCTTTT